AAACTTACTCTTTTTAAGGTAGGGAAGGTACAAGGACTATTTGAACTTGATATCAGTCTATCCAGTGATAGCAAGAACACTGGTGGGGGAGGGGCCTCCCTGGTGGCACAAGGGGTTAAGTCTCAGCACTATCAAGCAATGCCAGCCACTGCAGCATGAGTTTGATCCCCAGCCAGGGAGCTAACCCACATGGAGCAGCACACATCTTCTGTTTTGCCTGCTGCTCCCCTCAGCAGTGTATTTCAGTCAGTCTGCCTGTCTTTTCCCCACTCTGTCTCTGGTAAATCCTCTCACCTCCCCTGCAGCTCTGGCCTGCACCCCAGTTATTGTATGCATATTAAATAAAAATAAATCTAAAAAAAAATAAGAACACTGGTGGGTTAGAATTAGCCCTAATCAGTTGTCTCCCTTTCATATTTTTTCTTAATTTATCATTATACCTGTTTTTTTTTTTTTTTTTTAAATCATTCTCAGATTTGCCCTGTTCTTGTCATTCTTGCTGATGCCACCTTAGTTAAGTCCCTTTACTCTCCTGGGATTTCTCATTCTAAGATATACTCTACGTACATTTAAAAATCATCCCTGGGGCCTCCCCGGTGGCGCAGCGGTTGAGCGCTGGGTTGCGAACCTGCCCGCAGCCTCTGCAGCGCCGGTTCGATCCCTGGCCGCCGGGCGAGGGTCCCACATGGCGCGCAGACCTCTCCTGCCGCCCGCTGCTCCCCTCAGCAGTGTATTTCTTTGTCAGTCTGTCTTTTTGTCTGCTCTCCGCTCTGACTCTGGTGAATTCTCTCACCGTGCCGTGCTTCTGACTGTACCCAGTGCTTGTATAAATAAATAAAATAAATCTTTAAAAAAAAAAAAAAAAATAAAAATAATCATCCTGAATATCCTTTCTATATATTCAGTTTTCCACTGTTCTTTTCTATCATCTTGTTCTCCCAAATAACTTGTGACATATGTGGTGAATGGTCAGAAATAACCAATAGCATTAGTCCTCTGAGATGGCTGGTTAAAGATTGTATAGGAGTGACACATTTATCTTGTTTAACTGGAAGTAGGAATGTTCTAACCCTTTTGACCTCATGTTCTAAGATTCATCACCCTTTTATAATAGGGGATATCATGAGATGACCTCTAGACTCCTCAGAAGCCCAGGAATATTTTGGATAACTCAGAGTCATAGGTCCATGTCATCCACTAGTGTAACTGGTGGTGAGCAGATGTAAGAGGAGCGTCTCCTTGCATTGATTTGCATCAGGCCTGGGAATATCCTGAATACAGTTAAACTCTTTTCTTGGATATGAGAAAAACTTTAGTTCTATGACATCTTTTATGTTTGTTTTAGTGTTAAAACTCTATGTGAAAGTTATGAGTGAGAATATTTTCTTATCAACTATCCTTAAGACATATATCTAAAGTAGTGTTTTTCTGTCCACCAGGTTTTTGCTGAAGAGGGCTTAAAGCTTGCCTCAAGTGTACAAGCTTTCTCAAAACAGGTAATGCAGCCTAACCTGCCTGGTGCTGGGGGTGATGTCATGATTACCCACTTTGGGAGTATATTATTAATATAAAGATATTTAAGATTTCAAAGATGGAGTTTTGTTGGAGTTGTTTTAACTTTCTACATTACATTTCAGCTGAAAGATGACGACAAGCTTATGCTTCTCCTGGAAATAAAACAAGCTAACTCCTCTATGCCACCAGCTCCAGACAATAACTAAGACACCTTTGCAGAATCAGGTGTTTCTGAAGGTAAAAGGGAGGGTGGGCTCTTCAGGTAGACACTTGCGAAACTTTCATACTTTTTAACCAGGTTAACTCTCAGCTTCCTTTTCACCAAATAAAATATTAATACTAACAGAATGGCAATTATTTCCAATTTTTGTGCCTTGACTGTAAGAATCATTCATTATCAGCAATTTTAACTGACTCCAGGGAGCAGTAGACTCACCAGATAAATTCGCTTTTTGGTCATAATTAATTCCTTGGCACGGAGCTGCTGCCCTTAAATCCTCATGTCATCACTGCTCTAACTAGGGCACAAACTCCCCTGCATATGGGTCATATTTTGTCTCAGGAAATTTGCACTTACGCCAGCCAAGAAATTGGAAAGTAGGGAGTTCACTGCTGCTATTTAGAGTGCTTTGAGTAGCTCCTAAATAGCCGGATGTAGAAAGGTTGATTTCTCATTCATTCTTCTGGGTGTTCCCATGAATAGTCATGAGAACTAGGCAGAAATCCCTGCACTTGTGTTCGGGCTGCTCATGTCAGCTCCATAAGGGAGAATATCATCATTTTGAAGCTAAGTAAGTGATAGTGTCTTTTGACATATACTCCTTGTGATAACATTTGGATTGGCTTACTTTCTGCCACTCCAGGTTGATAAGTGTATTACAAAGACAAGATCCATGATGGCTATCTTGGTCCAACTTCTTTCACTTTGCTATAAACTACTGAAGAAGGTGAGAGCATATCTTCAACTCACAGTTTAAAGGAAAATTCAAAATGAAATACTCACTATTGAAATTTGCAATTTTTATTTTCAGAGTAACGTAGACAATAATTGTCTTATTCTTTCTAGCTTCAGGTGGAAAACAGCAGATGGGTCTCAGTTACCAACAAAGATTCCGTGGATGGTAAAACTTGAGAGCCTTTTGGTGTCAGATCTTTGAACATCATGTGGCAAAGCTGACATTTTTAGAAAGCAAGTTTTCTTTGTGTTTTTCAGAAATTCAACAGTTTTATAAAGAAGACAAATCTGAAATCATCCTATATTTTCTGATCATGAAACCAATTGTAAAACTATTTGACAACTAATAAATGACATGATAGTTGTTAGAATTCAAATTGCAGTGTCATTATCAAATGGAACATTGCCATTGATGTTCTTATAAAAGTCAAACCAAATTGTCTTAATGATCCCAATTGTCTTAATGGCAGTTTAATCCAAAGAGCTATTTGGAGTATGTGACCACCTTGGGCACACTTTACTTACCTTAACTCCGTGTTGGTGTTTTTTTAATCTAAACTTATCATTTAGAACATCAATTTTCAGCAAAAAACATGCAAAGTCTGGAAGAACATAGTCTTTCCTTAACCTGTGGACTCTCCTTCAATTCCTGTCTGTCAGTTGTGACTGGGCATCATCACAGACCACACATGCTAGTAGCTTGCATTTGTTCTCTGACAGTTATTTCAGGCTGTCATGCTGCATATGTCCTTCCCCCCATTCCCAAGGGCTCGGTCCTGGAACTCACACACAGAATCCTGGAGGAACTCACTAGGAGATGGCTTATAATTCTAATTCTAGCGTAACTGGCATGTCTGTCCTGAATATTAGCTGGAATCCTAAATCTATCTTATCAAAAAAATTTCTACACTATCCTCGTGATGGATAAAATAATCCAAGACTGATGGAACAAAGACATTGTTTAAAATAAATGCTTTTTTAAAAAGATTTATTTATTTATTTATGCATACAAGAACTGGGGTATAGGCCAGAGGTGGTGGGGGGCAGGGTGAGAGGATTCACCAGAGAGAGTGGGGAACGGCAGATCTACTGAAATACACTGCTGAGGGGAGCAGCGAGCAAGACAGGAGAGGTCTGCTGTGCCACATTTAGGTTAGCTCCCTGGCCAGGGATTGAACACGGGTGGTAGTTGTGATAGTGCTGAGACTTAACCCCTAGGCCACAGGGAGGCCCTAAAAAAATTCATAATAATCATACTTTTTTTATATGTGCATTTGGAATGTTCATTATGAAACAGTAACTTTAGTATTTTTAATTTCAGGGTTTAATGCTTGTTTTTGTATGGTGGGTTTGCTAGAAGGATCTGCCTTATAGGTCTGTCCTTCTAATACGGTAAACTTCATTTTGGATTTGTTTGTATTTCAATGCTCTGAAATCTGTGAGATATGTCATTTGCCAAATGGCAGCAGAGATATGTAAGCTTACTTGATGATCATTATGTGGGTCAGTTGTCACAATCGATACGAGGTCCTGAGGAGCAATACTACCAACTAGCTAGGCAATGTTTTATTGAAGTAAACTAGAAACACTGAAGGCCTTGGGGCAAAAATGGGATGTACATCGCTTAGTGACCTTTGCACTTTCAAGCATGATTTTTGTTCCCTGAAACTAAAATATTTCTTTTAAAGTACAATAGAAATAATAGAGAAATGATGTGAGGTAATGTTATATGTAAAACAGATGTGCTTTCCTTTTACTATCTTTAGTATTTTTCATTTTATGACATCTTTGGAAATCATTGTTATGGTTATGTAGCCCTGTCAGTGTAGATGCTTGTAGAATTACTACCTGCATCATGTCTGGTGAGTACATTTAGGCGACAGTCTTGCTGGGCTCAGTAAGTTTCTTGTGAACAGAAGTAATGTAAAAATTTTATTTACAATACATTTTCACATATCCAAAATGAGAATATTCCCTTATTTATGTAGCAGTAGTGGTGGGGAAGGAATAACTTATGAGTTCAAAGCATAACAGGATAGAGAACCAAAGGAATTTACACAAGTGATTTCTTTTGTTAATATTATTTTTAAATATATTTAATGATGTGTTGACGTTCCTAAAATTTTAAGTCTTTTATTTGAAGTTCAATGTAAATAACTTTATAATCAAAGTATAAATTCATAGTCTTCGCTGTTTAAATGTTGTGAAAGCTTTTGTTCCATTTGAAGGCATCTGTGCATTTGAATTTACAGCAACTTCTTAGTAAGGTTTTTGCTGGTTACCCTGTAGCTGGAGTGTAAAACTGAGTGACTGTGATAGACACATTGCTGTAACCAGCTTAACGCCGCATTATAACACTTCCATGTCAGGAGAGCCTTTGTGTTTTTAAAGTCTTTTATGCATCACTCTTTAAGAAGCCACAGTGTGTAGAATGCTCTATCTCAAAGAAGAAGGCCATGGCAGTGGCATGGGAGTGGGAGAAGGTACGTTTGCAGCCTCTTCCCTACAACCTAAAAGGAGATGAGCTGGGGCAGAACGGGTGGGACTCAGACTGTGGGAGTGGGTCACAAGAGGCGACAGGGTGAGAAGGACCAGCTAGATTTATAATCCAACAAATGGAAAATGAGGCACCTCAGTATTTATTGGAAAAAAACATGTCAAATAAGTATTACTTTAGATTATAGAATGAAGAAAATTTTTTACTTTGCTACTTAAAATTTTCCTTGTTTTTTCCTAAATTTCTTCAAGTGCTTTGTTTGTTTTTAATCAGAAATACATCCCTTGCTTGCCAGTTACAGAGCAGCAAATGAAGAGAATGAGTACATGGGCAGGCAGATCTAGGAAGCTGAAGACAAAAGGGAACCAAGACTTGTTACACAGGTAAACAAAGAAAAGTAGGTTAAGTGAAGGCTCAGGCCGCTGCGGATGGCTGGGTGTGAAATATGCCTCCTGGGGGCTTGTTCCTTAGCAACTGATCCCGTGGGCCAGGCAGGAGTGAGAGTCCCATGTCATTTTGCTCCATGTTGGTCCTCACGATGTGGCTGTTGTGGCATTAATGCGTTTCACCAGCACTTCTTCATACTGTTCTTGGGTCAGTAACCTCTTCTGTGATGCTTTTACTTTCTTCAATTTGGGCAGCACAACTGCAATGTAGCCTTCAGTGGATGGCTAGAAAGGAAAAAGAATACCTAGTACCTTGGACAGATTAGATACTAGATGGAAAAGAATGGGATCATGCCTTCCCCCATGTTACCTTCTCTTGAAGGATAGATGGCTCATGGAGGATGTTTTCATTCACTTCCATCAGCCGACCTCTAACACAGCTATATAAAAAAAAAGCATCCTGTTTGAAGAAAAATATTACCTCATTTTGTTTCACTAAAAATGTGGTTAAAATGTCACTTACCTGGATATGGTATATTCTTCTCCATCTGAGCAATAAATCTTACACAGAGGTGCCAGTTCTGTTAGAAACTGTGCCCCCTGTGTGATAAAAGGAAAGAAGTAATTAGTTGATGAACATTTTGCTTTCCTTTGAGAGACAGTTCTCAATGTCATAATAGGATATATTCCTGGAACTAATTTGTGTTTTTAAATAAAAATGACTTAATGACTGGAAATAATTCCTTTATTCAAACTTTTATAGTGAGTGCCAGGTCTTTGGCAAGGACCAGCCTAGGCTCTGGAGAAAGCAAACTAAGAAATGTGATAATAGGTAGTTTATTACAGGTTAGAATATTCTTTTATTGATTGTAAATGAGAAAGTGATATATAGCCAGGGGAAGATTTCAAAAGTAGAGGAAAAGCAATAATAAAAAACTGAACATGACAGAGTATGACAGCAACAGTGTGGGTAGTTTCACTAATTCCTTGTTTTTATATTAGAACTTAATAAAGGAACATCTTTGTTAGGGCCAATCACTAAGACTTTTAAAGGGGTATTTTTCTAATCAAGATAAATTCACTTTGAGGAAAATTAAGAATATAAAAAGTGTTCAGTAGCAAATAATAACATTTACTTATCCTACAAGCCAGAAGTAAATGCCACATTTTGATATGCATCTGTTAGAAGGTTATGGCATGGTTATTATTTCATGTACCCCTAAATGGATATAGTTGGGAGGCTTCCAAGGAGGTCATGGGAAAGTGGTGCAGAGATGTCTCATGTGTTGTTTTTTTTTTTTTTGCTTTCCAAAATAACTGTCCTGTAGTGAACACAGGCATGAAAGATCAAGATGCTATTCTTTACAATCTCTACCACTCAAAACAATATTAGCATTCAGACTTATTACCAAATTGGCTTCTGCTCCTCTGCATGTGGTTATTTCAAAATACTATTTTTTTCCAGAGGGTTGTCTACCACTAGGTCTGTGTCAAAAGATGTTTTAACTTCGTTTTTATCTCCTCCCTTGGAAGAATAAATGATTGGGCCTCCCGGGTGGCATAGTGGGTTGAGTGCAGCACTGTGAAGCTGCTGGCAGTCTCTGCAGCACGCGCTCGATTCCGGCCGGCCAGGGAGATTCCCACATGGCGTGGCAGACCTCTCTGTCATGCCAACTGCTCCCCTCAGCATTGCATTTCGGTCATCTACCTGTTCTGCTCCCCACTCTGTCTCTGGTCAATCCTCTCCACCTCCCAGCCTCTGGTCTATACCCCAGCTCTTGTATAAAAATAAATCTTTAAAAAAAAAAAAAAAAAAGAGTAAATGATTGCCGAGAACCTATCAAAACATTAGTAATGGGTTCCACGTGGGGGTCCCTGTTCTTTAGTAACAACAAATGTGTTACTATATTGCACAAAGATTTAACACAGGAACTTTACAAGTACTAACTCTTTTACTTGTAATTTATAGACTTTAAAAAAAGGATGTTCCATCTTTTGTAAGTCCGTGTTTCCTAAGTGAAGAAAAATTAATTATAAGACATATTATTAGGAGACTTCATGCCTACAAAGGGACAAGGTCTCTGAGAAAAGCCAGGGTAGTCAGCAGAAACACTTACACTAGCTGAGCAAAGAAAGGACCTAAATCACCCACAGAAACTTCCTGTGCAGTATGTCAGGATACTTTAGTTGGTGCTGAATTGTTCTTGATATAATACCTTCTTTTAATAAAATGTCCATCTTGCCTAAGGTACATTTTGTATGAGTGAGCATGTGTGATATAGAGGGTGTGGACAGATATGTGTTAAATTGGCAATTATTAAGGGAATGAAAATGACAATATGGAAAACTGAGCAAATTCTGGGTATTTTCTCAGATTGATTTTATATTCAAGATAGGTTTTTAAAATTTGTGAAAATACACAGCTGATCACTTCAGCTTTATAAAACTCAAGATACAGGTTTAATAAACTAGAAGGGACAAAATATCTCGATATATGCTAATAGAGTTTCCTTTCAAAGGACCATCTTTCTCCACCCTCCCTCCTGGGGAAGGTAATATAGAACCTTATATATACAGATACTATACCTTCTGGAATACCTAGGTTTTTTTGCTCTGAGAATTTCTGTATGGTTAAAGTATTTTTTAAAACCACACCTCAAACTACCAGGAATTATGCTGTGCATACATTATCAATTTTAACAATAAATGATCTATAATTGCTAATTACTGTAATAGAAAGAGGATTTAAGTAGAGACATACAAGAACATACCCGCTTAAACTTCCCAGAAACCTTGTTCTGAAGTCTGCTACAGTTGGTACTGATTTGATAGGAAATGCTTTTGATTGTTTTTCCACTTTGAAGAACTGGATGAGATCCTGCGAGTGTGATGACACATATTCTACAAAAAGCAAATTGATCCTTTGTTATTGCTGGGTGTAATTCTTCCTCCTGTAATACAGTACGCCAACTAGAATACGACTCTCTGAACTGGGTCAAACAATTATTCCACTCTGGCTAAGACTGGAAACTTAACTGTATAAGAAATTGCAAGAATAAAAGAGGAGAAAACGGAAGTGATTTCTTTCCCCAGAAGAGGTGTACTGGAGGTCTCAGTACTGGAGTACTGAGAAGTAAGGCATGCCAGCATGGAAGAATACAGAATCCCCCTGTGCTTCTAGCTAAGCCCTTCCGTGGACTCTGACACTTCAGTGGCTAGACACAGGCAGGCTATTTCAGGTAGTAGTTCATTGAGGCTGTGGTTCTCATTTGGAAGTTTGGGTAATTAAGTTTATTTGTTCAGAATGAATAGGCAGTGAAGGCTCATTCTGTCAACCAAACCCTCTAATAAATAATACCTTTTCAACACAGTGGAAGACAATAATTAAACGAATATTTTTCAAGCCAGGCCATACATACCAGGCTATAAGACCAGAAAGTTTTTGCCATAACTTAGAATTCCCAATTTGCTTACCGGTTAGAATGCTGTAGTATACAGTGGTCCTCACAGGGTTTTCCTTTGACATCTAAATATAAATGAGTCTGTTGACTGAGTCAATACTTATTACCACTGG